GATGAAGCAGGCATCATGGTTTTAGAATGGTTTTCATTAGATTATGCTGTTGTTGGATAATCTTTTTGATCACTCTGATTGGTTTAGTAAAAAGCTGAACAGCCAATAACTAGGCAGGATTTCCAGGCACAGATGATGCCTGGAGGAAGGGTGGAGTCTCTTCATGACCCCGCCCTTCTTCCTTCAGAGGAACTTTCACAGGTAGGAGATGAGACAGCCACATGGTAGCATGTAAGTTAATAGAAATGGGTTAATTTAAGTTATGAAAGCTAGTTAGAAACAAGCCTAAGCTGTCGGCCAAGATTTCATAATTAAAAATAAGTCTCCATGTCATGATTTGGGAGCTGGCTGGAGGGATAGAGAAAATCTAACTACGCTATGCTGTTGGTTTCCACAAGAGTAGGAAACCCCACACCACTCTAGGTCTGGACTTGACTTGGTTTATCGTAAAGAGAATACTGTGAGCCAGGTGTGACACACAGTTGTAATTCCGGCCCTCAGGAGGTGGAGGCAGGAAGATCAAGAGTTCAGGGCCATCACTTCTCAACTATGTTCAAAGCTAGTTTGGTCTACTACAGAAGACACTGGTTCTAAAACCAGGACAAGAGGGGTGTGGTGATGTATGCCTCTATCCCAGCACTTGAGAGGTTGCAGAGGCAGGCAGATCAATGTGGGTTTAAGGCCAAAAAATAAAAATAAATATTTAAAACAAGCAAACAAAACGCCTGTGACTCCATAAAATTTAGAAATATTTGATGACAAAGAATATCTGCAACAAAATAGCGAAGGTTAACAACAGCAATAACAAAAACAAAACGGGAAACAAAAGTGTTCTGTATTAATGAATTTGCTTGCCCTTTGTCTTTGGTCCTGGCACAGAACCTCAGTCTTTGGAATTTCCTGTGTGTAGGAGTGTCTTTGTTATTGGAGGTGGGGGCCACACCTTAGTTTATTCCGATGAAAGTGTTATCTTGGGCTGCTAGCTGAACCTATCATCTGTTCCCAACCTTCTGAATGGAGGGTTGGAAATCAAAGAAGTAAGACCCTATCAGCCTGACCCCCAGGAGGTTGAGGTCATTCCATTCATGTGACCAGTGAATCAATCGTACCCAGACAATGAAAACCCACTATAACCTGATGTTTAGACTTGAATGAGCGTCCCTGGTTAGTTAAGTATACTGTGTCAGAGGGTGATGTGTCCTGGGAGTCTCTGAACCCTCCACACCTTCCTCTGTTCTCTCTTTATTTGGCTGTCTCTGATTTGTGGCCTTTGCTATAAAATTGTGATCATGAAGTATGACACCCTCCTGAGTTTTAGCTAATTATCAAAGCTGAAGGAGTCACAGAAGCAGCTTTGTAACAAGCCAGACAGATTCCCACAAATCTTGAGGCTAGGAGAGAGTGCCCTAAACTGGTGAAACCAAACTGGTACTGTTGGTTTGCCTTGTAAGATACCATCTCCATAAATCTGAGCTTCGGGTTTGGCTGGTGGAACTGTGTTATTTAGGTGGGTGGTTTATTTGTTTGCTCGTTTGTTCTATGCATTAAAAACTTTGCTTGTGCCAGGTGGTAGTGATGCACGCCTTTAATTCCAGCACTCGGGAGGCAGAGGCAGGCAGATCTCTGTGAGTTTGAGGCCAGCCTGGTCTGCAGAGCGAGTTCCAGGACAGACTCTAAAACTACACAGACAAACCCTGTCTCAAAACCACAAACAAGCAAACAAAACCCTCTTTGCTTGGGTGTGCAGGATACCCTCCCTGTAAGATAGGATTTCACTATGTAATCCTGCCTGAGCTGGTTGATACTCATCATGTAGACCAGCCTGGCTTTGAACATTTCTGATTTTGTTTCTTGAGTACTTTTGGGGGAGGGGTGGAGACAGGGTTTCTCTGTGTAGCTTTAGAGTCTGTCCTGGACTCACTCTATAAACCAGGCTGGCCTTGAAACTCATAGACCCACCTGCTTCTACCTCCCAAGTGCTGGAATTAAAGGCGTGGGCCACCACCAACTGACTTATGAAAATACTTTTTAAAGAGAGAAAACTGGCAATATCTTCCTGGGGTTGTGGATGTTTGTGGACAGTGGCTTAAAATCTAAACCAAATTTGCCAGTGACCTTGGCACTCTAAACCCTCACAGTTTGGCTTCCTCTTCTTGAGAATCCGAGCATACAGACGCTCTTGGATGTAGCACAGATACCTGGATCGCCTAGGCCTCTGGGCTACGTGAAAAGGCTGGAACGTGAGGTTGGGGTAAGCCAGCGCATCTCTGTTTGATCATTTTCTTCGCTTAGTTCATTGGGTTTTTGTTGCTTTCTTCCTCAGTGGACAGCGCAGCCGCCTAGAGCCCATTAGCTGCAGAAGAGAGCTCACTGGTGGAAGGAAGTGGGTCTCTCCTCCTTTCTCATGTCGTAAGCCATCTTGTAGAGGTCTGACGTCTTACTCTGTGGCTCATGTCTTAATATGCTTTGAGAAGTTTCTTCTGTTTTTAAGCAGTGTGTTTCGTCCTTGGCGAGTTTCCTCACCCGCAATGCAAACCATCTGTACTTTGTTTGTTTTTGGAGTCCTCTATTGTTCTGTCGTGCTTTCAAGAGTTCTTCTGAGTCCTTTGGGACTAGAAGGGTTTTTTCAGCCTCAAGTGACTGCTCTTGAAAGTGAGCCATTGTTAGTCCCCAAGGTAGACGGTTATGAGGTCCATATTTATCCTTTTTCAAGGAGGTGTAGTGTATTCTCAAGTGAAAACCTGTTTAGATTTTTACTGTTGCCAGATGTCGTTTGTCGCATGAGGGTTGGCGACCTGGGGACACTGCTTGTGCACTAGTCTAGGCTTCTTACTGCCTTGGAAACAGAGACTTCTGTCCAGCCTCTCTCCCCATCAGAATATTCCAGGTGTTGACGTAGATCCATGTTATGCCCGTCAGCCCAGGCGTTTTTTTGAATAGGAGCAGCTCTCTTTCAGGGGTGACGCTGTCACCTGGGCTCCTTCCTTCATGGGGTCTTGCCAACATCAGCTTCTGCCCTTCTAGGTTTTCCTAAGGATAGATTCCCATTCACCAATTCCTCTTTACAAGTACACCCCCCCCCACGAAAAAAAGAGGTGCCAGCTCTGGGTTGAGTTTGCTGTGCTTCTCTCTCTAAGCCACACCCACTTTCCTAGTGATCCTCTGGCAGACAGGCTCAAGAGTGGCTGGTCCAGTCAGCCCATTCCCATGAGCCTGTCTTCAAGGGAATCCAGAGAACCGCTCGTCAGTAGTGGTCAGTGAAAAGGTCAAGCCATAGTCTCCTAACATATTGAAATCCAGAGGTTCTGACCTGCTGTGATGGGAAGAAGGAGTGGTCAGACTGTGAACTCCTCACTTTTAGAAGCTAGGTCCTACCCCTCAAAGCTGGAGAGTAGACCCCACCCTACAGGGAAAAAAACCCTAGATCAAGCCACAGAATCCCACCAGTCCCTCCTGAGCTTGCCCAAGATCAGGCCACCCTGGAAAGCTCCACCCTCGTGGGGCCCCGCCCCCCGGGAGTGCGCTGCGGCGTCTCATCAGAGCAGAGGCAGCTACCCTCCTGGTTTTTCCCTCCCAATGCATCTTTTGTGTGAGGTTTGCTGTGCAGTGTGACTTTGTAGTATTCCTTGGCTCCCAGCTCTGGAGCCTTTCTCCTCTTAGCTGTAACACACAAATACTTGAAGCAATCGTGTCTTCTTTGTTTACAACCCATATATTTATTTACAAAGGAAAGGCCATTTGAAAACGCAGATGTGGAGTGTAGAGAGGTGGGCTGGTGTTTAAGAGTTCTTGCTGCTCTTTCAGAGAATTCAGATTTGGTCCCTAGCACCCAGTTGCTCACTGCCTCTAACTTCACCTCCGAGGAATGTGACACCCTCTTCTATGGGGACCCTCATCTGCATCTACACATATAAATAACAACAACAATAATAATTCTTTAAAAATAATGTTTTACCTTCAAAAATGGAATAAATAAAAATGAGCATGTATATGTCGTTTGCATCTGAAAGTGAAGAATGCAGGCACTATGGGAGGTTGAAAGCAGAGGGGCTACTACTTGGGAGCCAGCACGTGTGACAGGTTTGTGCCGAGCTCCACACAGGAAGCGTGAGTAGGTTATGGAGGCTTTGAAGTGGCCAGGAAGCCCTGGCAATGAAAGCTGGAATTAGGAGCTTGTGACTTCTAAAAGGCCCCAGGTCTGTGTTTCTAGGCCTGGGGAGAAAAGCTGCTGGGTGTCGGTGGCATTTCCCCTCTCAGGTCTCTGCCCTGGCGGAAGCTTGCCTCCCCGCATCTGGATAGCCTGGGTTTTGCAAACAGTGTTTTAAGAAGTTCCCGAGCTGTGGTCAGCTAGCCCCAGTGCTTGTATCTTCTTCTTACTGGTTCATAGAAGCGATGACTCGTTTCTTAGAAAAGTTCTGGTTAAAACCATGGGGCTGGAGAGGGGCCTCAGAGGTTAAAAGCCATTCCTCTTGCAGAGATCCCTGGTTTGAGTCCCAGCACCCACATAGTGGCTTACAACCATCCATACCCCAGTCCCTGGGGATCCAACAGTGTACTACATACATGCAGGCAAAACATTCATACATGTAAAGTAAAATAAATAAATCTAAAAAACTTTTTTGAAAAAAAACCATAGCTTCCTTTGTAGTCACTCAGATGTAGTGGTGTGCTGATGCTGTCGGGTGATAGCTGTGCTCCGGCCCTGTGAGCCTTAGTCAGCGAGGCACAATTCCTATTCACAGTGGAAAGGGAATTAACCAGCAGGTGACCCTGCGTTTCTCTGTTGCTCTAGTTCAGGCTCTCAAGAGCCTAGTGTTCTGCTTCTGCTCCTTGGAAAGACCACTTAACTTCTTGGAGCCTGTCATGTGCCCAGGACTGACTCTTCAGGCTGGAATTAGGACACACAGCTCGCCACTGACTTGTGACACTCTATGCCCAAGAGACATTTACTGCAAAGAAATGTGATTGTGTTATCTGAACTGCTTACTCTTGACTTTTAGGTATATATATTTACAACGGCCATCCAATAAGACGGGTGGATATCATGGGAACTGTCGTTGGCGTGAGAGAAAGGGATGCTTTCTACAGCTATGCAGGTAAGAGCAATCGCCTCTGACACTGAGTTTATAGTTAGTCCCCACTCAGCTGAAGGTTGAAGTTTGAGCAGTCCTCACGTTTGCAAGCAGCCGGGGGCCTCACAAAACCGGGCGCTCTGTTGAGAGGCTCTTAGAGTCCCTGTCTGGGCGAAGTAAATGAGGCCACTGGTAAGAAGGATACTGGTAAAGCTGCCAGGTGGCCGCTGCTGGGGAGAGAGGAGGCGGAAGAGTTGAATGCAGCAGTGTAGGGTCACTGATGGTCGGAGAAGACACCTGACACCTGGAACACAGCTGTGCAGAGCCAAGGGCAGGACTGCGTTTAGAGCAAGTGATCCCTTTGAAATGAGGCCCAGTAAATGTAAAAATACACCTATTTAGAAGAGGATAAAAATCATTTTTAAAAGATTTATATTCAGAACAGTCAGGGAAGTTAGAAAAAAAAATCCTGTTTTTCGCTCAAGGTGTGATTATCTGTTCTCAGACTTGACCTGTTTCTCATGATGAAAGCTAAAACAGGGGCTCTGGATTTTGGACACCAAAGAATTGCTAGCACCTGCTTTAGTGTAGTGTGTCTTACAGCGGGGGTGGGGGGCACAAAAGTGTTAATGTAAATACCTTTTTCTAAAAGATTTTATTTTTAATTATTTGTATATGTGTGTGAGTGTGTGTGTGTGGTTGTGTACATGTGAGTCCAGGTGCCTGAGGAGGGAAGAAGAGGGTGTCAGATTTCTGCCCCCAACAATAAGTTGGGGTTAGAAACTGTGAGCCACCCAGTGTGGGTGCTGGGAGCAGGGACCCAGTTCTGCTCCCCTGGAGAGCAGGAAGGTCTTGGAACTCCTGAGCCATCTCTTCAACTCCAATGCAAGCATCACATTCGCTGAGCAACTCAAACATGCTCAGACCTAAGAGACCGTGGTAGATGTTTGGAGGGAAGCGTGATTTGATTTGCAGACCTTTGCTCTGATTAACACCATTACCTTTTGTGGCATTGCCTGTGGATTGTTTTCTTGCTGTACATGTTGAACTTTGTGTCCAAGAATGTTTGATTGACATTGTCAGTATCTTTGCACCTCTCCAACATCTACCTATCTCCAACACTCACAAGGTCCTTGTGCTTATAAAAGAACATGTTTGAGATGAAATATCTCTCTCTCTCTCTCTCTCTCTCTCTCTCTCTCTCTCTGTGTGTGTGTGTGTGTGTGTGTGTGTGTGTGTGTGTGTGTGTGTTTTAAATCTTGCTAGGCATCCGTCTCCTGACTCTCTCCAAGACCACTCACAAGCAGGTGCTACTACGCTCCTGCAGTATACCCAGCTGTGGGCAAGCGCGTTGTGCGTTGTCGGTAGTACAATACAGTACTTCTCTCCAAGTCCCAGGGATGACATCATCACATCTTTCCGTTACAAAGCACTTTTTACATTCATCATTTCTTATTATTCTCCCGGTTTTGTTTAGAAATAGGAAGAACAAATATTCCCATTTTGTGGCTGAGAAAGCCATGACTCACTTAACTCTCTTAGGTTCTGTTTGGAGAGGCTCGTGAGCCCTTTCGACGGCTAACTGGCCCCAGTGTGCACTGTTGTCTGTGTAGAGCTCACATAGCTTTTCTCGCCCACATTGCCGCATTTCTCCAGGCTCCCCTGACCCCAGTCATCTGGGGTTGATATTTTCAGATCGGATATAGGAAACTGGTGGGGATTTCAGTTCTGACTTGAGAACTGGGTCTGCTTTAGGCTCGTGACATAAAGGGATTCACTTAACCCCTGCACCACAGAGACATGTAAGGTGCTAGGTTTGGCTCTTGGCTCTTCCCTAGGCAGCCTTTCCCTCAAGTGAGTGTTGTGAGAGTGTGACACATCTGTGGGCTGCAGGAAAACAGCAATGTGGAAGTAATTAAGAGCAGAAGGCCTTGGCGCTTCAGTTCTTGGGTGGCCAGTGGAAGCCGAGAGCCGCTTTTCTCCCTGCTGTCCCCAGGCCCAGCATGGCTCTCCTTGTGCGCTCTGACTCGCTGCAGGCATGTCCTGTGGTGTCTCTACCCACACTGACTCATCCTGCAGCTGGGGAAGGATGTGGTGTAGCTTTGCAAAGCTTCTCCTTTTCTAGGTCACTCAGCAGCAGGCCTCAGGAGCCATGCTACATGAGAAGTTACAAGCCAGAGAAGTCGGGGTTTGGTGGCAGTACCCGTAGAACACAGAGCCCCTGGCAGCAATTTAAGCTCTGATGTGGCTCTCGAGAGGCTCAGGGTAGGCCAGTATAACCTCACATCCTCTAGAACAAATGTTCACTCACTTGTTATTGGTCTTGCTTCCAATATAAATAAACATTTTCAGCCAGCTGCCGTGGTTCCTGCCTGTAATCCCGGCACTCATGCAGCTGAGGCAAAGGATTGCTGTAAATCTGAGACCAGCTGGGGCTATGTAGCAAGTCCAAGCCAGCTACAGAGTAAAATCCTGCCTCTTTTTGTTTTTGAAATTTATCTAACAGTTAATGTGGGAAGGAGGCCATTAGTTGGTTCCTGTCTACTTAGCCCGGAAATAATCACACAGAAACTATGTTATTTAAAGCACTGCTTGGTCCTTTAGCTCTAACTTCTTATTGGCTAACTCTTACATCTGAATTTAACCCATCTCCATTAATCTGTGTATCGTCACATAGCTGTGGTTTACCAGCAAAATTTCAGCATGTCTGTCTCCAGCAGAGGCTCCGTGGCTTCTCTCTGACTCTGCCTCCTTTCTCCCAGCATTCAGTTTTCCCCACCTACCTCTGTTCTGCCCTGCTCTGCTATAGGCTCAAAGCAGTTTTTTATTAACCAATGGTATTCACAGCATACAGAGGGGAATCCCACATCAAGTTAATGTTCACACTGATTATAGGTGTCTTTCTCCATACTTCAAAAGATTCTGCTACTTACATTTAATATCTTAAAATTATTTCTCTTGAAATATACTGTTTAATTTATATATATATATAATATGTAAAAGATTTATAAGGTATATAAAAGGCTTTGTGTTTTACAGTGAAGCATGTGTATCTTTCAACAGTGAGGACCTAGGTCTTCATTAGTCTCACATGCTATGTTGTTGCAGTTTATTTAGCCGACTACACATTTGTAAACATTATGTTGCTCCTATTTCCAATGCTACAAGCACTGCTTTAGTGAGCAATGCCATTCAAGATGTAGATACCTGTGCACCTGTTCTTTCTCTGCAGAATAATTTACCAGAAGTCATTGCCAAGTCAAAGGGTGTGTGCTCTTAAGAATCTGATGCATGTTTCCAGTCTTGCTGTTTCAAAATGGGCTGCTGATTTATAACCTCACTCACAGCCCATGAGGGTACTGGTATTTTCTTATTTGTGTTTGTATTGGGGATTGAACCCAGGGCCTCATGCAAACGAGGTACGTGATATATGACTGAGCCATATCCTTACCCTGGTTATCAGTGTTTTTAACTGTCAATCTAGCAGTTGAGAAATTATTTAAACATGATTTTTCCATGGCAGTTATGGATTTAGCATATTGGCATTTGTTTATTTGCCTTGCACATTTCCCATGCATTGCACATCCCTTTTTTTTGGGTTCTACTACTCTTATGGTCTTGGTAGTTTTCTCACTAGCTGGTAGGAAATCTAGATATTAAATCAGTAACCATGTATTGGAAAAGTTGCTATCTGTTATTGGTTTTAGGTCAGCAAATATATCAAGCTTTGTTTAATGAGTTACAATTTTCAGATTTTGCTTTAGAAAGTCTTTTTTCTCCAGTTCTAAATCCAGGGCGTAAAGACAGTCCCCATATCCACTTCTCACACCGCTCACCTATTTTATGTTAGCAGAACGAACTTATTCACTGTATGGATAGCCTAATCTTCTTTCTACATTGATTTAAGCCAACAAGAAGGCATTTCCCCCTCCTATTCTATGTTGTGTAGGCCTGTACAACCATCTGCTTTTTTCTGTTTGCTTTGATTATGAGGCCCACTTCTCTGTGCTTAGCAACCTATGTTTGGAGTTTGTCAGAATTTAGGCATGGAGAAAATGATCTTCCCTCAGCAAAGATCTCCAAGTTCCTTTGCAGTCACAAATCCAAGTCTCATGGAAATTGTTTGATTCTTTTTTTCCTTTTGGCATTATAAATAAAATAAACCAGACCAGTTCTATTTTTATGGCCAGGGTATAATTATTTTCTGTTATAAAAATAAAGTTGGGTCCTTCTGGGACGAGCTTGATAATCCTCATACCCCTGTAGAGGTCAGGGCCGGGCAGAAGCCGTTCCACAGAGAAGCCTCTGGACCAGATAATGTGAACCACTTTACCTGGGCCATGAGCAAGCTAGTAAAAGCAGAGGTGACAGAAGGCTGAGCCAGAGTGCCGGTGCCTCCGACCACAGAGCACCGGTACTTTTTAGAAGAAAGGCAGTTATGGATGTGGGCACTTGCTAACTTCCTGAGAATGCACCTCTACCAGACTAGATAAGATTCAGCACTGCCAATGAGGTAGGCTGAGGGAAACGCAGACACAGGGAAGCAGTTCAGACTAGTGTGCAGTGAAAGATTGCTCCTGAGGACAGAGGGAGAGTTTTTGCTTTGTTTTTTTTTTATTATTATTAATTACATTTTTTCAGTTCCCTTCCCTCCCCTCCTTCCATTTGTCCCTCTCCACTCCCCCCCACCTCTCTCCTCCCCTCCATCCACTCAGAGGCAGAGTTCTTTAAGAGAGTTGCTCTTCAGCTATTGCAGCTGTCATCCTTTAGGACATGTGGATCGACCGGCAGGCCCAAGCCTCTCAACTACCGCTGATGCTTCTCTTTCAGTGGATGACGCCACTGGAGTTATAAACTGCACCTGCTGGAAAAGGTTGAGCAATACCGAGTCTTCATCAGGTAATTACACTCACCACATTCCTTTGGTTGTCCGATAAACAAACGATTTTGCTCAAGGGAACTCATCAAACAACTGCCAGTGTTTTCACACTAAGTCTCTGATGGGTTATTGGTGGCCCTGAGGTACTGTCCCTAGAGCTCTGACTGGTGGTTATAATGGTGGCCCTGACACTCTGTCCCCAGAGCTTGGCTGGTGGTTGTGATGGTGGCCCTGGCACACTGTCCCCAGAGCTTGGCTGGTGGTTGTGATGGTGGCCCTGGCACACTGTCCCCAGAGTGTTGGCTGTGGTTATGATGGTGGCCCTGACACACGGTCCCCAGAGTGTTGGCTGTGGTTATGATGGTGGCCCCGACACACTGTCCCCAGAGCTTGGCTGGTGGTTGTGATGGTGGCCCTGGCACACTGTCCCCAGAGTGTTGGCTGTGGTTGCGATGGTGGCCCTGAGGCATGGTCCCCAGAGCTCTGGCTGGTGGTTGCATTGGTGGCCCTGACACACTGTCCCCAGAACTCTGCTTCTCTGGAACCTGGTGCTATAGAGGGAAAGGGCAATTGCTTCTCTCCTACCTGTTTGGCCATAACTTTCTCCTAAGCATAGAGACAGGATCCCTGGAATTTCTACAATACAGTTCTTACCTCAATGAATAATTTGCAAGTCAAGATATTATAGTCTAATGACCCATCAATTCAAAATTCTTGACCAAAGATTTTGAAGAGTGCTTCTCCAACATGGTTGCCATGACACACATTTTCTGAAAACTCTATCATGTTCAAACAAGCAGGAATCCAAAGCTTGTGAGGATGAGGATGAGGATAGGATTTCTTTGGAAGTTAGTATAAATCTTAAAATTGTATTTTGAACACATTGACTAACCAGAACATTTGGAATTAGATGAATATATTTTTATGATGCTTGGTGTGTGTGTGTGTGTGTGTGTGTGTGTGTGTGTGTGTGTTTCCAGGGTTAAAATCTAGGGCCTTTAAACATGCTGGGCAAATATTCTTGCCATGAATTTCTAGACCTGAGCCCTCTTGGGTAATTTTTTTAGGTTTATTTATCTTATGTGTATGGGTGTTTTACCTGTGTATATCTCTGTAGCACATACATGCAGTGCCTACAGAGGCCAGAAGAGGGTGTTGTGTCCTCTGGAACTAGAGTTACAAAGGACTGTAAGCCACCATGTTGGTGCTTGGAACTCAACCTGGGTCCTCTGCAAGAGCAGAAAGTTCTCTTAACCACTGAGCCATCTCTCCGGCCCCTTAAGTAACTTTTAAAGTTCTCCTTCAGAGAACTCATGTTCAGCTCCCAGCACCCATGTGCTGACTCGCAGCCATTCATAACTCCAGTTCCAGGGGATCCAAAGCCCTCTTCTGTTCTCTCCAGGCACCAGGCATGTATGTAATACATACAGTTTCATTCAGGCATTCGTACACATAAGAAAATTAATTTTTTTTTATATTAGGTTTTTCAAGGCAAGGCCTGTATCGCCCTGGCTGTCCTGGAACTCATTATGCAGACCAGGCTGGCCTTGATCCTGGAGATCCGCCTGCCTCTGTCTCCCAGGTGCTGGGATTAAAGGTATGCACCACCACCTAGCATAAGATTAATTTTTTAAAAATTAAGTTCATAATAATTGAAAGGGCTTTAGGCAATGTTAGCAGTCATTTTAGTCTCTGAGGAGTTGCAGGTACTGGCAGTCTTTGTTCTGTTTTGTAACGTACAGGAATAGTGGTGTTCATGTGGGTTTGTCAAGTTTCACACTCCAGTATCTAATCTCCCGTGTCTATTGATCCGTGCTGTATGTTGCAGGACTGTCCAAGCTTATGAGGTTTCCTCTTTGCTTTTGCTGTCCTCTGTCCGAATCCCAGCATGCCTTCGGCTGTGCTGGCCAATGGCTTGCTCGTTTGTTTAGTTTCCCAGTGTATATTTAGGAATGAACTAGTTTTGTATGACTTTAGCATTCCTCCCTCTCCTGGTCTGGGAACATCTAAGTCCGTGGCTCTGCTTTGCTTGGGAGACATAGGTAGACTTGAGGCAAGCGATAAACCTGTAAGACAATAAGATACTGGGCTTCTGGAACAGTTTGGATGACTTATCTTAGTCTGTGGTTATGCCATCTACTTTTCTAACTGCGGTGACTACACGCCTGACAAGGGGAACATCTGGGGATGGCATGTTCTCACTATGTAGCCCTGGCTGGCCTGAACTCACTGTATAGGCTGGCTTTAAACTCATGGAGATCCTCTTGCCTCTGCCTTCTCATTGTTAGGATTAAATGCAAGTGCCACCACGCACAGTCTAAAGGAACTGTTGTGTTTCAGCACAGTTTGTCAGGGAAGGCGGGGAGGTGGGTGAATGATGTCCACAGTAGTATTGACCTGTCCACACTGGCCTTCTGCTCCGAATAGCCCCCATTCAGTCCCACCCCGACAATATTGTACTGTTGCTGTGGTCTGAATGAGTGTCTCTCAAAGGTCCATGGAAACGCTTAGTCCCCAGGGGTGGCAAAAATGGACAATAGTGTAGACATATAAGAGATGGGAACTAATGTGAGGTCCTAGGTTATTAGGGACATGGCATCAAAAAGCATTATGGTGCCCCGCCCCAGTCTCTTCTTGCTTCCTGGCTCAGTGTGTGACTTTCACTGTGACCCACTCTCCTGCCATGACATGCTGCTCTCATCACAAACCATGGAGATGACCCAGCGTTTGAACACCTACAACTATGAGCCAAATACAGCTCTTTATTCCGTCAGTGGTCTGAACCAGTGTCTCATTACCATGATGGAATGCTGACCAGTACAGTTTGGGACGTAGTTTCTGGCACCGGAGACTCTAGGGTAGCAAACCATTCAAACCGCTAGAGCGTTAGCAGTCATTTGCACGTTTACAGCTCTGCTCGCAGTCTTTAATCAGAAGTTGAATTATCCAGCCACACCTGAGCCTCACGGAGCACCTGAGCAGACATGCCGTAAAGGGGCAGATGGTAACTATTTCCTGTTTTGTAGGTATGATCTGCCTCAGCTACTCGACACTGCCATTTTAGCACAAAGTGGCCATGGATGATACATGGGCAATCAGGCATGGCTCTGTCCCAGTAAAACCCTAAACAGGCTATAGATTGATTTGGTTTGTACTTTAGATATTGTTTTTGTTTTCTAAATTAACTTTTGGGGGGGGGTGGATAGGGTCTCACTATGTAGCTGGCCTTAAACTCTCACTGAACCCTTTGCCTCCCCAGTGCTGGGATCAAAGGTGTATGCTACCACATCCAGGTTAATTGACTCTTTTTAAAGAAGTGACGTAATCAGGAACACCATGTAAGTCCTACACTTAATAATAGTGATGTTTTGGATCAACAGAGTGGCTGTTAATACTGAACACACCAAGAGGAGGATGCTTTAAAGTTGGGAAGCAGATGAACCAATGAGCAATTCTAGAATCATCTTCATTCAAAAGCAAGCATAAAGAAAATGATACCTGGGCGGTGGTGGCACATGCCTTTAATCCCAGCATTTGGGAGACAGAAGCAGGCGGGTCTCTGTGAGTTCAAGGCCAGCCTGGTCTATAGAGCGAGTTCTAGGACAGCCAGGGTAAGCATGTCAGGTAGGAGGTAGCCTAGAAAGGGTTCATGTCATGCCATACGTAAAGTAGTATTTTTAAATTGCTCCCAACTCACTCATTCTCTCCTTTCATTTAATTGCCCCAAGTTTAAAAGCTTTCCATTGGAAGGTGGCCAAAAAAGACAATTTTTAAAAACAAAATTTATTTGAGTCAAAATTATGTTTCAGTCAATTAATAAAGACTATAACGTGAGCTTCTGTGGATGTTACATTGAATGTACCATTTGCACTTAACTTATGAGCAAAGTAAGAAAGCTTGGTCCTCACTATTAGAAAGTTATCTTCAGGATGGAATAGATTACTAAATGAAGTTCTGTCAGACTCCAGCCGTCTCATTACAGTCATTAAATTACACGCTGGAGCCTTCTTTCATCAATTTGACTCACTCTCTAAATGAAAGCTGGGCCTCTCAGATCATCCGTCAGCCTGATAATGTCAGTGGTGCCGCATGGACTCCTTATAATCCCGGGTGATGTCTGCATAGTGGCAGTGAGGTTTATACATACCCTTAAACGTCAGGGTGAGTAGAAAAGGGCCTGGGGATAGGAACATGGCGAGAGCAGCCTTTTAAAAAAGCGATTCTTGTTTATTTTCAGAAGAAACCCAGTGAGCTAAGCAGCCACATTGCTTTGCCTCTAGTTTCCGAGGTGTCGGTTGCCGCATGCGCACAGGTCTTTGTGCTCGCTGTGATGCTATGGGCCTTGGTCCAGCAAGTGTGTTCTAGGGCTGCTACACATTACAGAACCATCACTGCCGAAGCTGTAGTTGGTCAGAAAGCAGAAAATTCCATCAAAAGATGGAATGAGAGATCGCTGCTCTATTGAAACCTTACCAAGACAAACCAGAGCGCGGGAATGAACCAGCATTTAACAGATATCTTTTCAGGTAGGGAGTAATATCTGGAAAGAGTTGGCCATGATTCCCATCCTGCAGCTCACACAGAGGAACCTGAAGAAGACATATTGTATTTTTATGAATACATAAAATGAACATGCTATGTTCTCGTAAGTCCCAGCTGCTGGGTCTCTGGAAACAGTCGGCAGCAACAAGAGGAGTGGATTCAAAAATCAAGATTTTTTAAACTCTTACGCAACAGAATGAACTCAAATAAATGTTTGAATCCATGGACAGTATGTGTGATGGGCATCATGCACATAGTCTACTTCAAGTTTAATGAAACCAACAGCACAGGCTTATCAGCAACAAAACATACACGAAGTCTATCATCTCATATAAAAACAGCCAGCTCAGTGTCTGGGACAAACCAGTAACCCCAGCATTTGGGAGACAGAGGCAGGAGGATCAGAAGTTCAAACTCACCCTTGCCATGTATTGAGTTCCAGACAAGGGTACATAAGACCCCAATAAAGAAAATATCAAAAACGGTACATGGTTTCCTTTGCTGTTTGTTTTAATTTACTTCTTAGTGGTTTTGTTTTGTTTTGTTTTTAGACAGGGTCTCTTGAAATCCAGCTAGTCTTGAATTCACAGCATAGCTGAGCCTGGCCTTGAACTCCTGATCCTCCGCAGCCTCTGAAGTGCTGGGATCACACGAGACACCACCACTCCCAGTTCTTGACAGAATTGGGCTTCGCTTGGGCTTTCCAAGTTGCTATGGCAGGTTCACAAGGGAGCTGAGAGCACACGTGCTTTGCCAATGACATGTGTGAATGCAGGGTGAGGTTGTTCTGGCAAACACTGTAAAAAGTGACAGGTTGCAAACTCAGTGGAAGTCCCCAAAGAAAATAATTGTCTAGAGAGCTCAGTCATCTGTTGTCACAAATAGCACAGGCGTCACTTCCTCTGTCCATGGTATGCAAAGTTGAGCCATGCACGACAGCCGTGTGTGTGTGTGTGTGTGTGTGTGTGTGTGTGTGTGTGCGCGCGCGCGCACGCTCACGCAGGCGAGCACATATGTGGATGCGTGTGTGCAGCAGTAGACTGCCATTACCCTCATTTTTTGATTGATTTCGTTGAGGAGAGGGGACATCAGAGGGGAGAAGCAGCCTGCCCAGGGAGGAGTCACAGCAGCTAAGAGCCCAGCGGAGATGCAAGCCAGGCTTCTCTGCCGACAGTGCTGCCCTCCATGCTGTGCCTGCCCCAGGCAGATGATACAAATCAAAGTGAAAAGCCTCCAAAAGGGAAGAAACATGCAGCTATATAATGCCAGATCATGGCGGGTCTTCTATTGTATGGAAGACTGAGTAATTCTCTGCACTAAAGCTGGGGTAGAGGGTTCAAGACCATCCGGGGTTGCATAGCAAGGCCATATTTCAAGAACCAAAGCTACAACAAAATGCTGAGTTGGGTAGCTTCTGTGGACACATGGCTGTATTTGGAATTACAGTAGACAAAACAGAACACTGGGTCTCTACTTAGCCAGCTCTATTACCCTCTGAGGCAGGCAGCAGGCTATATATAGTGTGACCACAGTCTCCACAGCCACACACTGCAGCTCAACCTGCAGCCTTCCCTGTTAGCTGACTGTTTATTTCAGACAAGTTGCTTGATGTCTCTGTGGCACAAGTTTCTCGTCTCTGAAATGGAGCTAGCAGAAGGGAGCAGGTGTACAACTTGAATGTGCTGGTGTATTGTACAGTCTGTAGAAGAGAACCTGTACACCCTCACTTTCAGGTGTGCTGGTGTATTGTACAGTCTGTAGAAGAACACCTATACACCTTCACGTTCAGGTGTGCTGGTGTATTGTACAGTCTGTAAAGAACATCTGTACACTCTCATGTTCAGGTGTGCTGGTGTACTATACAGTCTGTAGAAGAGAACCTGTACACCCTCACGTTCAGGTGTGCTGGTGTATTGTACAGTCCGTAGAAGATCACAGCACCTCACCAGGAAACTAAACATACTGAGATGCTGTGTCCGCAGCATGGAGGGACACTTGCTAACACCTTTCTTCTCTTTTCCTGGCCCCGACAGACCCAGCTGCTCCAAGCACTGCAAGAGAGCTAAGCATGACCTCACAGCTTAAGAAACTGCAGGAGACCATCAAGCAGAAAACCAAGATCGAAATCGGGGACGTTATCCATGTCAGAGGTTCTGTGCGCATGTTCAGAGAACAGCGAGAAATCAGTGCCACCCTTTACTGTAAGCACGGGGAGTTTCTGCCAAGTGAGCTGCTCTTCTGGGTGTGTGCTCAGTTAGTGCTTGCTTAGTTCCAAGTCAGACTTGCAAAAGATTTAAGTCTAGTGGGGAAGTTGTGTTTAGCTTGCTGTTTTTAGGAAAGCAGCCTTTTTAAATTTTATTTTAAAGAATGTTAATTAGAAGTAAATTGGGAAAGAATGAATTATGGACTCTATAGAGATGGCAAGTTTGTCTGGACAGCACCGCCGTTTCTGAAGTACTTTGAAATTCTAAATGTCAGTCCATTAGGGCAGAGTGTTCCAGTTCTTCAAAAGGATGGAAATGTCTTGAACACCATTAAGCCCATTAACTTTAATGAAAATAGCTAATTAGAAATAGTCCCGAATCACCCCCTTTGCACTGTGCTGGCTGGTTTTCAGCGGGAAAATCTCAAAAGCAGTCAGGCATGAGCGACACACACCTTTAACTCCAGCACCCAGGAGACAGAGGCAGGCGGATCTCCATGCATTTGAGGCCAGCCTAGTCTACATAATGAGTTACAGGCTAGCCAGCGCTGCATACGACTATAGCCGTATGTAAATATAATATAATTTCAAGGACTGGCCATGTAGTACATCAGCATAACACACAACTCGCTGATGACAGTCCTGTCTCCACCCCAGATGTGCCTGTCACACCGTAGGCACTGCCTTCTCTCTCCAGGGATGGCTGGGTCCTGTCCTGCGACTCCAGACTACTGTCCTATGGGTGATTTGGACGTGGAAGGAAGTGCTCTCAGAGTTCCTTCTGTGGCATCTTGTTCTTGGGTTGGTAGATAAGGTGGACGATCCAGTGTGGAATATTCAAACTGCGAGAATGCTCGAGCTGCCAGTGCTCTACAGGAGAGTGTACGACCAGCCCTTCCGCAGCCCAGCCCTAACGGAGGAAGAGCCACCTGAGTAAGTCCCCCTGTCCCCGCTTGAGAACATGACGGCTGCAGGGAAGTCTAGCAGTAGGAGCCAGAGACTGGGGTGACGGCAGATACCCACCCGAGTATGGGGTGGGGGGCTCCAGTCCTCTCTGCTCCAGCTTCCTCTCCTGCAAACTAGAGCAACTATAGCATAGAGGCTGTAGGGTGTGAAGGGCACAAGTGTGTTATAATTAGACTTACTATAGGAATGGGGGGGCACGGATGAATCCTGCATGGCAGCTGGAACTTCTCCAAATCAGAGGAAAGCTCTAAACTCACAGATCCAAGAAGCTTAGCAAACCCTGAGGTGAGAACCATGGAGCAAACTGCACCAAGGCTTTTCACAGTCAAAATACTGTGCCACGGGGACCACGACCCTGGTCCTGCAGCTCCCACCATAAAACAACAACATGCCACGGAAAATCCCTTCTCAGTGGCCTCCCAGCACCTTCAGCTGGGAGGAGAGAATGAGGAGGTGTCTTACTTAGGGTTACTTTTCTCTGATGAAACACCATGAGGAAAGTACTTGGGGAGGAAAGGGTTTATTTAGCTCACACTTCCACATCACTGTTCCTCATCAGAGGGAGTCAGGACAGGAACTCTAGGAACAGGGCAGGAACCTGGAGGCAGAAACTGATGCAGAGGCCGTGGAGGAGTGCTGCTTACTGGCTTGCTCTCCATAGCTTGCTCATTCTCCTTTCTTATAGAGCCCAGGATCACCATCCCAGGAGTGGCCCCACCCACAGTGAGTGGGCCCTCCTCCATCAGTCACTAATTAAGAAAATACTCTACAGGGTTGTCTGCGGCACTCTTCTGGAGGCATTTTCTCAATTGAAGTGTTCTCCTTAAATGGCTACAGCTTGTGTCAAGTTGATGTAAAACTAGCCAGCACAGGAAGATACTTTTTGTTGGGTTGGGGGCAGAGGCGCTAGAGAAGCAGCTCAGTGGGTAAATTGTGTGAGGACTTGAGCTCAGATCTCAGCCCTATATTAAAATCTGGGCAGGCTGGTGCGCAGACCTGTAACCCCAGCAGTGTAGGCGGTGGAGACAGGAGGATCACTGGGACTTGCTGCCCATTTCTTTACCTCTAAATCTGAGATCTACCTCTAGATCTGCTCTCAAGGGAGTAATAAAGCAGGGCACCCGATGTCTTCCTCTGACCTCTGCATGCACACACACACACACACACACACACACACACACACACACACCACACACGCATGCACCCACACGTCCATCACACACATTCTTTTTTTGCCATGCTAGAGAATGAACCAGGACCAAACTCATGCTAAGCTGTACCCCCTGCCCTCCCTTTAATTTTTTAAACATATAAATATATTACTTCTTCAGTAAGCCGTACTTTCAAACAACACAAATAGTAGATGTTTATCACACAGAAAGTGGGAGTTGCCTCCAAGCACGACTACCCAGAGGTCACCAGTGTTCCTAGGTTGCCATGGTTCCCTTATGTGCCTTTATTCCATGCTCCACAACATGAACATCACTTAGATATTTAGTGGGATTTCTTTTCCCTCTCACAAAAATGGTCGCCCCTCCGTGCTCTTCTTGACCTGTCTTTATAATGTGTCGTGAATGTCTGTCAATGCACACAGTTCCATCGTAGCCGCCTGATGGCCACTGTAAGACTTTCCCTTTTTGTAAACAAGCAAACAGATACCCCCCCCCAAAACAACAACAACGAAAGATAAGTACCAGTGTAGAATGGGGTCTCCTACTAGCTTCTGGTTTTATACACACCAAAAGGAGCCTGAGGTGATGATGGTTTCTACAAGGCATTTTAAATTTTGCCCCCGCAGCAAGACAGGCACTTTGGATCTCGCCGGCCTCACGTCTTTGTTGAGTGAGAAAATCAAAGAATTTCTCCAGGAGAAGAAAGTGCACACCTTCTACCAGCAGGACGTGGAAATGGTGGAGTCCCTGCAGTCCCTGGCCAGCCAGCCCGTGGCCAGCCAGCCCGTGGCTCACGGCACCTGCTCGGACAAAGTAAGTGCAGCGTGCTCATGAGGTCCTCAGTCCCCACGCCTGCAGCTGAAGGTGAGCGCATGCGTGACTGGTGGAAGACTCGCGGGGTGGGCTTCCAGAGCAGATGTCACGGTTCTAGCATGTGCCTTTCTATTCTAGAAAGGTCACTGAGCACTAGGAATTCACGTTGCCCTGGATGTCTGAGTAGAGAATAATGGCAGGCTTGGGCCACGGCACCTAGTGGCCAGTGCTCGCTGAGATGGGCATTTAATCTCTGAGCAAGTACATGAGGGTAACGAGGTAAGAGGAGAGAATCACCCTCCCTCCAAGGTGACGATTGGCCAGCAAGATGGTACCCGAATCACGGTTTTTAATGGCGTGGTCTTTTCCATGAAAAGGTCAATCTGTCCTGTTGTAGGAAATCAGATAAAGGCCAAGCTGTAGTCACGTTTACAACTGAAAAGTTCAAAGAATTTTCCTGTTGCTCTTGGTGAAGCCTCCGTCCAGTCTTGTGTTCCTTGTATTCCAGGCTGGTTTGTTGTTCGGTTTTCTATGTTCTATGAAATCAAGACTTACTAGGAATTGCAGGTTTAGGCTTTTCCTTGCCCTACTGTTCTTGGGTTTGATGCTGTCGTGCTCTCTGGCTGCCACACGCCCCTCTCTGCCTTCACGGAGCTGTCTGATCCTTGCCCTACTGTTCTTGGGTTTGATACTGTCGTGCTCTCTGGCTGCCACGCGCCCCTCTCTGTCTTCACTTGTTCTTCAGTGTTCTGGCCCCGTTGTGTGTGGTGTCGCTGGTACTCATCCTCCCTGCCCTCCATCAGGTCCATTATGTCTGTGATGTCACTGACCCATAGTGTTTGCCCCCGTTTGTCTACCAGAATGTAAGGCCTGTGAGAGCAGAGGTCGTCTGTCTTATATTTGCTGTCTACACGACCCCCAACAGGATTGGAGAGGGCAGACTCTAGTTAGGGGATGGTGGTTATTTTAAATCCAGATGGTCCCAGAAAGCGACAAGTGTGTTTCCCTCCCATCCTCTCTCCTGCCCTGTTCCTGGCCCCCAGGACAAGCACTGTCTTAGTCTCCTGAGCATGTCCCTGGCCTTATGATGAGCTTATATTGACAGTGGTGATTGCGTCCCTTCTTTTTACCCAAATGGGAACACACTTTGGTCTTCTTCAGGAGACCGAGGTTTCAGTGATCAATGCATCTTTCTGTACTTTCCTGGTAGGACATAGACTTTGCCACCATCTGAAAGCTCTCATTACCTGTACCCAAGTATGAGTTCACACACGTACCCTCTATTCTGCAACTGTCCTGACATTTTCCAGGCCTCCCCCATCACCAGCCAGGCTGCTCTGAGTGTCCTAACTTAGTCTGCATGCTGCCGGTGGAGCAGGGACCCTCCCAGCTCCTTCCTGACCCTTGCTTCTTGGATTTGTTTACACACCTAATTACCTCTTCCTGGCAACAGTCTGTGTGCTCAGTGACCCAGGATTTCATACAGAGACATGAGGGGTAGTGTTTCAGAAAGCACTCAGGTGGAGAAGGTCATGGCTGGAGCTTTGTTCTTGGCCAGGGTTGCCCCGGCTCTCCAGCTGTCCACTCTCCGTTGGCCGTCTTTCCATTTCATCATTTGGAAGACCCTCCTAGGGCTTCTGGTGGCTCTCTGTATTTGCCAGTAGTTCTCTCTGTCCCTGTCTTCTCTCCCCTTTTCCTTTTAAAACATCTTTTGGGGGGCTGGAGAGGAGACTCAGAGGCTAAGAGCACTGGCTGCTCTTCCAGAGGTCCCAAGTTCAATTCCCAGCAACCACATGGTGGCCCACAACCTCCTTGCCAGCAGTTCATTGTATGCTTAATAAATAAATCTTTTTAAAAAATCTTCTAAATTGTGTGTGTGTGTGTGTGTGTGTGTGTGTGTGTGTGCACTTGTGCACATGCCACAGTGAGAGTGTGGAGGCCTGAGGACAGCCTGCAAGACTCCATTCTATCTTCTGCCCTTTGGGGCTCAAGGATCGAGCTCCTCACAGCAGGTGCTTTCACCTTTTCCAGCTCAGCACCTCATAGGCCCTCCGTTTTCTTTTGTTCTGTAGTCTAGGCTGACCTGGAACGTGCTGTATAACTCAGGCTAGCCTCAAATTCATGGTCCTTCTGCGTGAGCCTCTTATGTGCTAGGACCACGTGTGTGCTCCCACGCCCACTCTGAGGAAGCATGAGTAAGCAGTGAAGTCCACCCTCGTGTGGAGCGACAGTGGCCACAGTGAACTAGAACGGCCTGCGGACTCCCCCACTCGGAATGTTTTATGGGGAAATCTTGGTGTAGCATCTTTTTGAAGAAGCTTAGAGAAGAAATTTGTACCGGCCCAGTGCTGTATATGTAAAAAGAAACGAACACGGTGCTGTATTTGTTTTTCTCTGCAAACGATTTCTTCCATCAATAATGAATCAGTCGGTCAGATTGCACTGCTTGGGAGGTCAGTGTCACTCAGCTGAATTCCATCTAATAGCTCCCTGGGAGACTGTGGGTGCTCACAGTGCTGCAGAAACCCGAGAGCCTTGGGCACTCTCGTTATCACTCACCAAAGCTCAATTCCCTTTCTTTCTCTTTCTTTCTTCTGATGTTTTTTTTTTTCTAACATCGCCCTTCTTAGCAAATCCAGAAACATGATAAGCAGATCTTACAAAGCCATTGTGTCTCCGACAGCTGGATGGATGCAGAGTTTGTTTGGGAGCACAGACTATATATATTTCAGGAAGCCGCCCGGTTCCTGCAGGGCAGGGCAGCCCCAACTCACTGCTTCAGTCTGTGAGCAATTTTGGTTTCCTGAATCATGGCTGTCTGTCATTGTTCTTTTGAAAATGACAAGCAAAACGCAGACCTCAATCCAGGAAGCTGCTGGCGTTTCAGAGGAGACCCCCCACTCCCCCTATCCCCCTCACCTTCCCACCCCACCCACCCCAGGCCCTGCTCTCAGGACTGTGGTCTTTAAGCACATCCTGAGGTCACGTGAGGCAAATGTCTTGGAAAGGATGTTTCCCATATTGTTTGCAGTAACTGAAGCCGAGTCTGCTCCATCCTCCCTATCAGAGCTGCGACTGCCTTTGCTCTCCCAGGCCCGGGTGCCCTCTCCCCCTCACCTAGCCTTCCAGAGGAGGGAGCTGGTGCACATGGGAAAGATTGCCCAGCAGTGTGCAGACAAAGCTATGACTAAGTCAAAGCCGAAACACAGAACAGTTCTCAAGTGGGCCCCTCCAGAATAGACTTCCGGCTGTGCCTAAACGCGGGCCTGCTCAGCTGAAACAGGCCTCGAGTGTGCTGACTCAGCACAAGACAAGCCTGTTGGGTGAATTCATAAACCAGTCAGTCTGGGGAGTTAGTCGTAGGTGATGAAAGATGAAACTTATTTCTCTTTCTTCCCTGTGCAGGTGGAGTCAAAGACCAGCACCACTTCCGGTACAGTCCACAGTGTGTTTAAGAATGCTATACAGATGCTGTGGGACAAGGGATTCGTGTTCCAGAGAGATGGTGGCTCTCATAAGCCATACTACGTAAGAGACTTGCAGCCTATGTCCCCTCTGTAGCTTGCATTATGAACACTTGTTTCTAAAATAATCTTCAGGAGGTATGTCAGTCAGAAGCACAGGTTAGCTCTTACCTTCTCGCAATCTAACTCTTCTCATCACTGGTTTTGTGAAACAGGCTTGCTCTGTAGCCCAGGCTGACCCAGGTTGGCCTTGAACTCATAGCCTTCTACCTCTACTTCTCCAGTGCTGAGATAGTAGGCATGTGCCACTACACCTGATCCATGCAGCCTCTTGAAACCTAATACTCTTCTAAGTATTCATTTGTATATTGACAGGTTATAATTTATAAGTATGTTCCTATGGCTTTTTTTTTTTTTTAAATAGCAATCTTCTTCCATGTCAGAAATCCTCATCCTCAGCGTCACTGGACCAGATGAGAGTCAGGGACTCTCCTGCGCAATGTAGACTGCTTGCCAGCATCCCTGGCCTCACCCACTGAGCACCACAGCATCTCCCGTGTTGGGACAAAGGCATTACAAATCTCCCACTGCTGGAAATAACACTCTGTGCTTTTGGGACCCATGCTCCGTCCCCATCACCTTTGCTTGTCAGGACCTGTGAGTCTGTCTCACTCTTCCTGACTGTTCTATGAGTATTTACCAGAACTTTCTAGTCATTCTTTTGTGTCAAACACTACGGTGTCGTGTGACTTTTGTGGTCACAAATAGGGTTACCCGCTCTATCTACATGGCTATCTCTGTGGATTCATGTCAGTATTTCCAAGACCTACACAGGAAGGAGTGTTTTGGGAGTAAAGAACATTTAGTCAAGCTTTCGGGTGGCCCTGCCAGTCAGCCCCCTGCAGGCCTTGCCACTCCCCACAGAATACTGGTGTGGTCGCTGTTGGCCTCGTTCTTTTCAAGTTAAAAGTCTGCCTCTTGCTGCCTGTCTCTGATATTGGAGGCATGAGCTGAGATGAGGCCTCCTGAAGCCACCCGTGTCCCCTGCAGAGGTGGCTGAAGGGGACCGTGAATCTCCTGGAGACAGGCTGGTGGTGGGCCTCACAACTTTCAGACTCACCAGTGGGTTCCTCAGTGGGACATTTCCTCTTTGGAGAGGTTTTCCACGGTGTTGAGTAACTTGTGGGAGAGACACGCGGGCTGTCCACCCGTCCAGGGATGGGAGAGCACAGTAAGACATGACAGCCATTGTCAAGCCAAGCTGGGCCACCCAGCTGGAGTCCTCCTGGACACTTGTTCCTCCCCACTCTCTGGGTTGGCCTCCCCAAGGGTCTGTAGGCTTAACCGTCCATGTGAAGCAGCGACAGCCACTGCAGTCAGCTGCCCAGGGCGAGGTGTGGCAGGGCCGGGCAGTTCCTCCTCTGACTCACCGTGAGCTGGAAGGGGTAGTCAAACAAGAATACATGCCATGCCCCCTTCTGTGGCTAACCCCTCCCCTTCCACTCACTCCTGATTTGTGGGTTTCCTTTCTCCTGAGGCCCTGCTGGACATAGTTATCATAGCAATACCAACCCTTCTGTTTGCATTGTAAGTTAAAAGTCATCGAGTGCCCTGCTCTGGAAGTCAGGTCTCAGGCGTTTGTGGGCTGTCTCTACTGCCCAGTTCTTCAGTGATTACAGGCTTAGACTCTTCCTTCTTCCTCTCCCTTTTATCTGCTTTGTTTCTTTCCTTCCTTTCCGCTCCCCGTTATTTCTCCTTTCCCTCCCCTCTCTCTTTCCCTTCCCTTTTTTTCTTGTCCTTTTCCTCCCCTTCTTTCTCTGTCCTCCCCCTCTCTCCCCCTTTTTTCCTGTGTCCCATCCTCCCTCCCTCCTCTCTTCCCCTCTTTCCTTTCTTCCCTACTGTCCTCCTCTTTCCTCCCCTGGCTCTGCTGTTACTGTATTTATTGCTGGACCTGAGCAAGGCACCTGCTGCTCGTTGAGAAGGAAGCATCTTGTGTCTGCCTGTGAGGACGGAGGGTATTTCAGTAGATAAACTAGGTTCTCTACCTTGCTAGCTTTCCCATGCCCATTTCTTCTTTAAGTCTTCCTTGTGCTAAACTAAAGAAATACAAGACAGGCGTGGGGGTGGAGAGGAAGGAGTGGGAGGATGAAGGCCAGAGACTTGGAGCACTTGGGCACCTTCAGGCATACGACAGCGAAAAGAGAAATGTTGTGAGTGGGTTCAAGTGTGGAAGAAGCAAACCACCCCTTCAAGGCACAGAGCGCTAGTTTGCCTTCTGGCCCCGGTGAAGCAGCTCCTGGGAGTGAACCAGATGCTTAGGGACAGAGCTGAACCACCCAGGTCCAACATCCGAGTCATACCCCTGGGGAAGGGCAGGTGGTTTCCATGGAATCTACAGAACTGCCCCACGTGCTGGTTTGAATTCGGAGGGACATACTGCTGTGTTCTCAAACCGCATTTTCTCTCTGGACTCTAGGTAACCAGCAAGGACAAAGACCTGCACCAAAGGATCTACCAGATCATTAAGGAAGAGTGCCGGAAACCAAATCGTAAGTGGCGCGAGGTCCAGGTGATGATGAGATGCATCCGGGGTTCCCTCCCCAGAACAGGACCGGATCAGGAAGTTCCCATTCCTGACTCAGGAAGGAGACAGCCAGGGTTCCTGTCCTCTCTGAGCTCAGTTGCCTCTTCTTTAACACACACGCTCTAATAGTTCCTTGGACTTTGGTTGGATGGAGAAGTCAGCATTGGAGCTCCCACCATTAAACACCCCTGGAGCTCCTGGTCCTGTAGGGGACAAGCTGGAGGCTGATAGATGAGCCCCCCGCCCCAGGATTTCCGACACACTGAAGTGCACCACCATGCTCAGCTCTGAGATGCACTCCTAGTCCCCTTCTTCAGTTGCACTGTTTGGGACCCGTGCTTACCACTGCCTTTGAATGTAAACATGACATTTCCCCTCATTTCAATATCAAGGCCTTCTAGTGTAAGGTAGACTGGTTCTAGACGTCCTGCCTCATGAATAATGAAATTCAGTCGTCTTGGAAACTGACGAGTTGTAATTGAACCGGGTTGGAAAGTGGTCTGCTTTTGTGGGGTAAGGTCAGCCTCTAGTGGCCAGACACTCACACTGCAGTTACTGTGGCAACACAGGTTCCATTTCAGGCTAGTTACAAAGAAAACTTCTGTCTGCACTTGTCAGTCTTCAAGGTGACCTTTCAGAGCCTACCCTGCAAACGTGTGCCAATAACAAATACTTCTGTCCACAGGATCCTGAAGCAGGAAGGGCTATTAGCCCAAGGTCGCCTGTCACTCCCTTCAGGCCCAGACAGGTTGAGTCACCAGGTAGAGTGGGGCCAGGTCATCCGCCCTGCTGTTTAGGACCCAGTGAGATCAGAACCCAGTGTGGTGTGACAACCAGTCTTTAAAAAAAAAACAAACAAACAGGAAAAGTGGTGCTGGAGAGAAGTCTCAGCTTGTAAGAACACTGGCTGCTCTTCCAGAGGTCCCAGGTTCAATTCCCGCACGGCAGCTCACAACTGTGTAACTCCAGTTCCAGGGGACCTGACTCACACAGACATATATGCATGCAGGCAAAACATCAATGCACTTAAAATATAAATATTTAAAACAACAACAACAAAAAAGCTCAACACAACCTCTTATTTTAGTAAATGAATGTAGTTTGGTTTATTCAGAATAATAATAAAAGCGCTTTAAGCAGGCATGATAATATGGACCTGTAACCCCAGCACTGAGAAGGCTGAGGCAGGAGGATAAGTGCTTGAGGTCAGCTATGGATAATATGGAGACACACATTCTCTCCTTTCCCTCTCCTTCTTCCTCCCTCCCCCTTCTGTGTGTGTGTGTGTGCATGCATGTGTGTTTGCATGGAAGCCAAGGAAAGACGTTAGGTGCCCCCACTCTCCCCACACACACAGTGCTGGGTTATGGTCTCCTGTCCCCATCCCCACTCTCCGTGCACACACAGTGCTGGATTTACAGGCTCACGTGCAGCCGCACATGGCTGATCTACCCGGTGTTGGAGAGTTGAAAACATAGGTCCTTGTGCTTCCCAAGCAAGCTATCTCTCCAGCCCACTGGAGAAAGGATTTAAGGAGATGCTGTGGTCCCAAGATGTCATTCCTTTACTCTGAATCGAGGCCCCTCAGCCTTAGGTTGATGTGCATTGGGACTGAAGAGTTTATAGCTTGGCACCCGTAAAGCAAATTAGAGAACCTGTAGCCTGGGGAGCAGAGGTGCAGTAAGAACAACAAGTTTGCCTGGAAAGACAGCTCAGTGGGTAGAAGTGCTCACTGCGGAAGCCTGACAGCCAGAGTTCAGATCCTGGAACCTATAAAATTCCCTGATTTTTGAGTGGAAAAACAAATTTTGTCTTTCTCATTGGATAGGCAATCCTGCATACTTAACATTTCTGGTTTTCCTGGAGATCTGTGACCTCAAGGACATTCATGATATGCTCCCAGCACACGAGGGCCTCTAAGAGCCGTGGGCCAGTCACCTAGCTCAGATAAGTCCCAGGTACTGGATTTAGGTTACAAAGTACTGGTGCAAGACCTCACAGGAACTCTCTTAGCTTGGGCTGTGACCACTTGTCTTCCTGTTGTCATAACCTATGACACTAAAGAGGATTGTTCCTAAATAGTAATGTATACAGAGTCTAGAAATCCAAACAGTGCAAAACTGCACAGAGAAGTCAGATACCATACCTTCTCCTCACCAGGCCAGCACTGGTCCAGGGATGCTCCATACACTTGTATCAAGCAGCATCCGTCCAGGGATGCTCCATACACTTGCAAGCACAAAGTCCATCTTTTTAGAAACTCAAGGTTAGCCTGTAAACTATATTGTCTCCACCTTGCATTTTCTGCCCAGCATTGACTTCTCGAGATCATTGTCAATAGCACTGTACATCGAAAAGGGCCTCAACTTCTGAATAGCTGTGTGGTGTTCCACAGTTGTCCAGAGAGATTAGTTGGCCACTTATTTCACCATTCCTACTGGACCTTTAGTTCATCTCTTACCTGTCATATAAAATGAGCACTGGGCTGGTGTTTAGAAGAACTGGAGCTCCTTGTTCATTTCTGGTGTCTGAACAAAGGCTGGGAACACAGCAAGGAAAGTGTCTACACTAAGCCTGTTTTAGGTCCCCCTGAGAGGGCTTGTCTGAAAAGTGGGCGGCATGTGGCGTCAGGAAGAGCCTGGCTACAGAACAGGTGACAGTGGTGTTCACAAAGCTGTTGAGAGAGTCCTCATTTAACATAGAAAGGGGTGAAAAGGTGAGGTTCCCTTTGCCCACGGGACAGGGACTGATGGCCTTGCCTCTAGCCTGGGGTCCTGAAGGCTCATTCTGGCTCTCTGCCCCTCAGCTGAATATTGAAATGGGAACTAGCAATTTCAAATTGAATCTTTTTGTGGATTTTTCTCTATTATAGGTGGCTTATAGGTCAAAATTCCTGGATTTCAGCTTTATGTATGGTGTAACAATGGTAAATTATCCTAAAAAGAGTTCTACTTTGGAAATGTCTTTTTACTCCGAGAGTGTTCTCACGAGTAGAAGAGCTAAGCACAAAGCATGCACGTGAGGGTCTCATCTAGACTCACCGGCAGTCTTCAGCCCTCAGGACAGGGACACCCTTGGACACACCATGTCGTTTAGTGCAGCTGCTGGTCAATCTAAAATGACCGCACTTTGAGAGTAATGAGTGGACACGGCCACTAGAGGTCGCAATCTAGTTTTTGTTAGCCCAGCCTTAGACCATGGGAGAACCACAGATTGTCCCTGTCCCACAGCCTTTAACTTGCAAAAGAACTGATTCTTGTGGGGTGCTGTGACTTGCTCGAGGCTGTGAAGCACATGAGGGTCAAAATGCTTCGCCAAGTGCCACCCTGGGACCTGAAGCCTTTGTTACCGTGTGAATGCCCTTTAGCTGTTTCGTGCCAGGGTTGGGCTCCAAGGGGAGGCTTTCCTTCAGAGATGAGTCTCTACTTTGACTCAGGATAATGTCAGAAGATGTCTATATGAAGTAAATTGACAAAACATACTGTTATATATTCTAATTTTTTGTTCTAGTCTATTTTACTCTGCTTGGTAGAAAGAATTAAAAAAAAAGAATGCTGACCATGAACATAGAATTAATGGTCCCTATGGCTACAGCCCTCAGGAGGAAACCTGAGGAAGGGGGATTTTTAGTCCTCAATTCTCATCACTGGGTACCTAGTGGTCTTAGTTTTGGGTCAAAGGTAAAAGTTTACTAAACTACAGTTGTCACGGATATGACCCAATGGAAGCTAGGGGAGGAAACATGGGGCAGGCTGAAGGTAGGAATCCCTTAGCCATGGGACTCCGTCAAGTAGGACATCTAAGAAAGGCCAGTTGTGCTGTGCATGTCCAGAGGTGTCCTCCTGAGCAGTCAGGGGGTCAGTGCTGTGTACCAGAGGAAAGGGTTTGTCAAGAGTGTACAGCCATTAGGTCATGGATGTGTAGTTACTGATTGGAATACTATACAGCCATTAGGTCATGGATGTGCAGTTACTGACTGGAATATTGTACAGCCATTAGGTCATAGATGTGCAGTTACTGATTGGAATACTGCACAGCCATTAGGTCATGGATGTGCGGTTTCTGACGGGAGTCCTTGAATGTTGAAGATCAGAGCGTTGAGAAGTGGACTGTGTCACTATAGAGACATGCATGTGGAGCCCAGACCTGGTTTTGGCTGTGTGATTATACTGATTGGTGCGCCTCAGATCTTGATGCGAGAAGAATCATCCTGGATCTCGCCGTGACGCCATTGTTGGCTCAGGAGGCCTGGAGAGGGATAGCGGAGGGCCTGGCCGTCACAATCATGCTGTGTCTTCCCTTACCCGTAGACGTGGAGAAGGGCTGCCATCTGATGCATGTCCTGAACTGTGTGCGCCTGAACCTGCGCTGGGACCTGAGCAAGGCTGTGCTGCAGCAGGTGCTGGAGCTCCTGGAGGACCAGAGTGACATCGTGAGCACAGGCGCTCACTACTATACGGCCTTCTGAGCAGAGCTGCGGAGCAACGATGGTGGCCTTACCCCAGGCTCTCTCACAGGCATTGTACAGGGTTTACATATATTTACTCTCATAATAAATTCCAATATAATCACTAGAAAAATGGGATTTGACTTCCTTCTGCTTGCTGTGTCCCTGAGATAGATGGCATTGGTATCAGCCACGACACACACAAACCATCCTTGTCACTTCCTGGCTGGACTGAGTGTCACTCAGAACAGAATGGGAGTAAACAGTGCTGCTGGCTCACTCACTGTGTCTGAACTCAGGGACCCTATCTTGCTAGAGGGACGTCCAGGGTAGAGGCTCCTGCACACTTGGAACTGGAGAGGCAATGGCCAGACAGCATTGTTGGAAAGATTTTTCAGGCTCCAGGCTACCAGATACATTTCCACCTGGCTCTTCTGGTGTGTTAAAAGCGGACATAGGGGCATAGTCTCCTGGAGTGATTGACACTTGCCTCTGGTTCCCAAGGTTCCACACTGGCAGTGAGGCCTAAGACCTGGGCTGCTGAGGTTTTCAGATCTGCCTTGAACAGGAAAAGCATCTGGGGCATGGCGTGGCCTTTTAATTCTTTCCCTTATGACTTGAAAGTTGTCTCAGAACATTTGCCTGCACCGTAAGAGATGCACAGCTAAATGTGTGGTCCCTTGGTGCCCCTGAAGATGGCAGAGGCTGTCAGCTAGCTGTCTGGCTGGTGGTGTTATTTTCAGGATTGCCGCTGAGTGTGCAGGACTTGCCATGCAGATGGAGGCTCAGGATGTGCCCAGACAGGTGACGGAGTCGTGCTTAGGCTCAGAATGACAAGGTGGAGAAAACATCTGAGTTATGTAGTAGGCTTGTTCTAACAGCAAATGGTAGATCCAGCCAGCAGAAATAAAGGATGGGGAAAGAGTTGGAGTTAATTACAGTCATTTCGCAGAGGGCACATCTGCCCGAGTCTGCTGTGTTGGCTTTTGACGTAACAACGTCAGGATGGCTCAGCTGGAAACCCTTCAGGCCCAGGAGCTGCTCCACCCGCTGTGGGTGAGTGGTTCTACATCCACAAGCCCGAGTTCACACTGGAGATGCTTTCCTGTCCTGGACCCTTCTGCCCTCTGTGACTCCTTCTTCTCGGGGATGGCATAGACAGCTACTGTGTTCCCTATGCATGGAAGGGTCTCAGCTACATAGGATCTGCGTGGAGCTCTTCCTCCCAGTCAGCAGCTGTTTCATGCTCAATTCATCTTGATTAGTGGCCTTTCTCAGGCGGGAACCCAGAACTGGGAAGTAAAAGGGGTACGGGCCGGATCGAGCAATCCCATGAGAATTCCTCTCCAGGGAAGAGGCACGCCAAGTATGAAAGAAAGCAAGATGCCCATCACTGCCTACAATAATTTATATGTGGAGAAGTTAAGTATGGACACGTGATGAAATACTACATAGCCACTCCAATGATGGCGCAGATGGCTGCTGTTGCTATGGCGCAGGGAAGAAAATCAAATCACAGGGCTGTTTGTGTGGTACAATGCCATTGATACAGAATTCCTTGTGCCTTCACGGAATCACTAAATGTGTATAGCGCAGATCTACGCAGACACAGCTCATCAATTCCTCCTTCTAGAACAGTGACTCTCAACCTGTGGGCCCGACCCCTCTGGCAAACCTGTCTCCAAAAATTTTTACATTATGATTCATAGCAGTAGCAAAATTACAGTTATGAAGTAGCAACTAAAATAATTTATGGTTGGGGGTCACCACAACATGAGGAACTGTAGTAAAGGCTGACAGCATTAGGAAGGGTGAGACCCACTGCTCTAGAAGCATTTGCTGCATTTGCCTTCCAGGACACCAAAGGTCCCGACTGCACCTTCTCCTTCCCTTAGTTATCCATCTCCCCAGTTCCCGAGACTCAGCCGCAGACCTCAGTTCTAGCTGTCTTGCGCTCCAGGGATCCTAACCTCATGGGCTATGCCATTTGCATACTGCCAGACTTCCCAGTTGGCATGGGGTTGGGCCTGTCTGCCATCCTCACCCCTGTATCTAGCCTCATACTGGCATCTGCTTAGGTGTCCTGGAGACCTCACTAACTTCATGTGTTCAGAGCCAGTCCCTGGATCACACAGCCCCTGTCCTGCTCCTCAGAGCCCCTGACGCAGCAGAAGCCAGCTCTACTCCCAGACGCTCAGGCCGAGCCATCAACATCTTTCTCACAGCCCACACCCAAGCTGTACAGTCACAAATTGTTTTGACTCCTCCAAAGTGTTTCTAGAATATACTTCTCACACCCCCTTTCCTCCTTCCTGAGGTATTGCTGTCACCTCCTCTCTGGCCTCTGTCACCGGCTTCATCACCTTCTCGGCACGGCAGCCACAGGGATCCTGGGCTGCTTCCACTCTCCATGGCTTCAGATCTCATTAGACAGGAGCTTGAGGCATCCCGATGGCCAGCAAGGCTCTGCCATGCCACACCTCACTGCACCACGCTCAGCCATTATTAGTCTTGCTGGGCCCCACGCACCAGGTGTGTCCTTGCCTGGGGACAGGCCTCTGCTCTTCTTCAGGTCTTTGTCTGACTCACCTCAGTGAGGCCTGCCCCAGCCCTCTTGGCTGATTGTAACCAATTTCTGTTCCCCAGCTTTGTTCTGCCCATAGTACTAGTGAATGCCTAACACACTCCAGATGTTTGCCTTCTTTCCCTGTTTATCATCTGTCTCCCCGGCAGAATGCTTTCGGAGACTAGAATTCTCTCGTTTCCTGTGTCCCCGTACCCAGGGCAGTGCCTGGTGCATCTTTACTAAATCCCACTTTTGTTCGTGGCTGGCTGGTTTCCAGCTCCTCATACCAGACTCTCCTGAGGGTTTCCCAGTGTTCGGAAATCTCCTCAGCTGGGAGCACTTGGCATTAACATCCCCCAGAAACAAACTCCGCCAGGGCACCTGGGGTTTGAGACTCAGGCTCCCTGGTCCTTCTGAGGAGATGTGGCAGTGGCGTGTGCTGTCAGAGTGTCTTTACACACTGCCACCCACCCATCCCAGCTGCCAGCTTGATATCTACCAGCATCCCTTGCTCCTCTTCTCCGCTCCTCATCCCTGTTCTCCGCATCCCCCATGTGAAAGTTTTTGCTTTCTTGAAGTCTTTGCTTCGGCTTCAGCTTCAGCTTCTGGACAATCCGTATTAATATCACGCTCCTGAGCCCTTGTAAAAGTGGGAGGAGAGACCTACCTTACAGAGTTGTCCTCCATGTGTGAAGGGTGGAGTGCATAACTCTGGGCACGCATACACACACACAATAATAATACACTGAACGTAAGCTGGAGAAATGGCTCAGTGTGTAAGAGCGTATACTGCTATCCCAGAGTTCCATTTCCTGCAACTGCGTAAGGAAGTTCACAACTACCTGCTAACCAGTTTCAGAGGACCCAACACCCCTCATCCTCCTGTGTGTTCATGCCCCCCACACACAAATTAAAAATACTGTTATTTCCCATCCCCACCCACCAGAAGCACAAGTAGACAAGACTGAGAGTCCTTTCCCCGTACGGATTAAAGTCCTCAGCTCTGGGGTATGCTTGTTTAGAGAAGTGTGGGCACACACGTAGCTTATGGAGGCGAGAAGACAAGTGGTACTACTGTCTGGTCGTGGGTTTGTTTGAAGGGCCATGATTGTCCCCATCTGGTCAACTACCAGTGCTCCTCGTTCCTCTAAGACACTTCTTTGTAATTATTTTCCTCTCTGATGGTGTGCCAGGACACTGGCCAAAAAAACCAAGTGGGATAAAGTCCATTCAACTGTGAGGGACTCAAGACTCAGTGCCAATGATTGAAACCAAGCGAACTTCTAATTTTCCATTGGCAAAGCATCTACACTTTCTCATTCATGTGGTTTCTCTTCCACAGGCGGCTTCTACCAGGCTACCCAAAAACATCTCTTTGTTCCCTTCCTCAGTCCATGTGAAGCCTATGGGAAACTCCAGCAGCGGCTCTGGGAGAAGGGTGTGCATGACCATCCTGAAGGGTGGTGTTCCAGGACAAAGCTTTGTGGCTGAGCCTTGGATGCTTGCTGTTCTCCTGACAGAGGGCTAAATGTGAGCCTATGTTCGATCAGTGGGATTTCATGTAATGCTGAATTTTATCAGTCTATTTCTATTGAAATTTGACAACCTGTCTATTGCTTGCTAACCTTGACTGTAGTTATTAAGACAAAATAGGCAAATCCGGGAATAACACCAGGTTCTACTCACAAGAATTCCAAATCAAACCCTAAAGTTCCGTTATGTCAAAGTAAAATGCTGTGTTTTCACTTGGAATCAGGAAGGAAATGCAAAGGTGACCTGATGGCTTTGGTTTGCGGGGTTTTGTTTTGTTTTGTTTGTTTTTTTGCATCTATTGTGTGTGTATATACACCTGGGCACACATGTATCAGAGGACACCTTATGTGAGTTGGTTCTCTCCTTCCACCTTGCATTCAGGACATCAGACTTGATGTAGAGTGTCTTTACCTACTGAGCTGTCTCACGGGCAGGCAAAGTAACACAGATTTACAGGGTTAAACAAATGCAACTTAAAAGGATGCAACACATCTTTGCATCATTAAACAAATGTTCCTAGGCATAAACAAATGTAACACTTCTTAAACTAATATTATATAGCATGTCTCCTTTTTTATCTAAATAAAAGGAAAGGCTTTAACTTGACCATAGTAAAACTATGTGCAACAGCAACAGTTAAAAAGTAAGAATTACATTTACAATATTCAGTCCATTTGTATTAACAAATTCAGAGAAAATAGTCCATTACCTGTCTTATCTTAGTGATTCCAAAGTTTTATACTTAATTTACTTTCTATCATAACTAAGAAAAACTACAACTCTATTTAGTCTTTAACTCCATCCAAGACCTCAGAAAGATGTAATATTACCTAACAACAGAGACATCTAGCTACCTGGAAGTCACCTAAAGTTTCTCTGCAACATTGGGACATCTATCTTCAGCCTACAGGCCTAGAACATCTAGTAGACTTTTCAGTGAAGCAGGAAATTTGAAGGACTGTCCCACCTTGTATTGGCAAAGTTCAACAGTCTTTTTCTTTGTGTTCTTATTGTCCAGTCTATATAATATACTGTCAGCAGTCAAAGCAAGAGCAGTTTCTTGCCCAAATGGCTAGCCTTGCCACATTGAAATCAAATTCCATATGGAATTTCTTCAGTGACCATCATCCTTGTATGAAGTAAATTGGTGGTGCCAGAAGCAGATGTGTCTCATCATCCCAGAAAGTCCTATAACAAAACATTTTAAATGCCATATTCTGTAGCTGTTTGAAGTGTTGAAAATCATCTCATCTATCTGTCTAAAATATACTCGTTTGACCTTGAAAACACTTAAATATACCAAAATTTATGCCAATGCAAAGTATTTGAGATTAATAGTTGTCTTTTTAATCTTATTTTCCTGTATTCCCCTAAATGATAGCAAACACCCATGACCCACCAAATAACCAAAAACCATCCACACACCATCTCTTGGGAATTGGGCATTTATTTCTCTAGACTTTGTCCTGTTTTCTGTGAATTAAGACATCTTTAGGGGTTCCTGGGAAAATTGAGAGAATGGCCAAGTCCTGGGAAGACTAGCTGTGTGTAACTTTTGCTGGTATATATCACCTGTCAAGATTCTGGAGATCTTTCCTGATCAAACCTGGTCTGTATTAATCCTGAAGGAATCCACAGCCTCTCATTTCCTGTGGAAACAAAAACAAAACCTCTTCTCCAATGCAACATATTTTTTACTTCTTCTTTTTTAAAGTTAAGATAGCCCTAGAATTCCACTTAGCAGTCTTGTTCACAATCCCATGTCTGTTAGCAGATGTTGATGCTTATCAGCAATCAAAAAATTCAAAATCAACACAATACTGTATAGGATCCAGACTCCCTGTGTATTTCCCATCACTACGTAGCTTTTTCTTTTTGTATTACTTTTACTCTATTTAAAAATTCCCATTCTTTTAAAAAAAAACTATTTCTATGACTGTCTATACCCTTTCTCTTTCCTTTCTTAAACTTGTGCACATTCTAAAACACACTGAAACCTGTTCAGAGGTATTTTTTCTGTCTAAAGCTATTTTACTGTGTATTTCTACCCTTTTCTGACCTCATGAACCTTTACACTGCTAAGCAACATGTCTAGAACCTCCTCCAAGGCTTTGGTGACTGATTCGCCAAACTACAGCTTGCAGCGTGGAAGGAGGTAGATGACCAAGAACTGTACTCAGCCCCCAGGTCTGGAATGCCAGTGCCCTGCACTGTGGCAGGCATTTGTTACTTAGTTCTTTGTTTCTCTTACTGTGAAAAAGGCCCCTTAAGTGCTCTGCTGTGCTGCAGAACTTCAAGGAGCCCTGTCTGGGTTTGTTTGTTTGTTTGTTTGTTTATGCTTTCTCATGCACTATGGAAATTCAAGCCTCATGTTGAAATGTCAAAATGTAGTTTGTTTGTTTGTTTTTTTAACTCTTTGGGGGGTCCACCACCCAGCTCCCTAATAAATACACAGAGTCTTATTTTTACTTATGAATGCCCAGCCTTTGCTTGGCTTGTTTCTAGCCAGCTGCTTACTGGCTTACTCCTCATAGCTTGCCCACCCTGCTTTCTTATAGAGCCTAGGACTACCAGGCCAGGGATGGCCCCACCCACCATGGGCTGGGTCCTCCCCCATCCATCACTAATTAAGAAAATGCCCTACAGACAGACCTGTGTATAGCTACTTTTATGGAGACAATCTCTCCTTTGGGGTTCCCTCCTCTTCTCTGACTCTAGCTAGTGTCAAGCTGGTGCAAAAACTAGCAGCACCATATGTTACTAATAACCTAAAGTGGAAACAGCCCGATGTCCATCCTCTCATGAACAGAGCAGTCTTCTTGAAGATTTCAGACCAGGTGCAAGAACCCAGGTGTAAAAGAAAAAACCACGTAGAGCAGTGGTTCTCAAGCGGTGGGTTTTGACCCCTTTGGGGTCGCATGTATGGTATCCTGCATATTAGATATTAGCATTACAATTCATAATGGTAGCAGAATTACAGTTATGAAGTAACAACGGAATGATTTTATGGTTGGGATCACCACAACATGAGGAACTGTATTAAAGGGTTGCAGCATTAGGAAGGGTGAGAAATACTGAAAAACATATAAATTCTTTTTATATGAAAAAGCCATAGAACAAGCAGGTCTTTAATGATACAAAACAGAGGAATGGTTGCCAGGCATAAGGAAAGGAGGTCATGTGGCTCAGAGTTCGTTTGGGGACATTGGGGTTTCTGGAAGTATGTCGTTGTGATAGGCTGTGGGCTAGGTTGGGTGTCCCATGTTCTCCATGTCCCCATGGCTAGGTTTCCTGGGCAGGCACCCTGAGAAAGCGTGAGTCAGGTGGAGGCTTCGTGACCATTTGTCCACAGCTCAGAATGCACAGTCTCGTTTTCACACATTGTAATTGCTGAGGCTGTCAAAAGGTACACCCCTACCTCAAGAGAAGGGGTGAATGTGAACACTACCTCCTGATGGTGAGGACCGAGGTTCCAGGACACACAGGACTGTTACTGGACTACTCTGGGAAATTGTCTGTAGCCAGCATCTTTCTACTTATAAATGCAGACATGCTCATTCTGTTAAAAGATGGGGGAGAGGAAAGGGTGCTGAGATGGGATCTCACTTTGTAGCTCAGACTCACCTAGAGCTTGCTATATAGACAATATTGATCTTGCAATTACAGCAATCCTCCTGTCTCAGTCCCATAGATGTGGTAATAAAAGTACAACCCACTACATTCTGCTAAAAGGTGGTTTTGCCCTGAAGAGTCCCATAGTGAAGAAATGTGCAACTTACTGAATATTGCATACTTTAAGGTTATATACATATCAGGGGCTGGGGAGATGGTTCAGTTGTTAAAGCCCTCGCCATGCGGGTGTGAGGACTGGAGTTTGGGGTCCTAGAACCTATGTAAAATCCATGCAGACATGAGGGCTGTAATCCCAGCACCTGAGGCAGATGCTGCAGGGCACACTGATTAGCCAGATTAGCGAGCACTGGTGAGCCCTTGTCGCAAGGCATGAAGGGAAGAGTGAGTAAGGAAGACACTGACATCAACTTTGTGCCCCGTGTGTGCCACACTTATGTCCCAAATGATTATGTGCATACTGGAAAGCAATCATGTTGATATTTCGTGTATCCTTCCACAGTTAAAAAGAATTTTATTTGGGAGGAAGGGGTGGGAAGAGGGGGTTGGTGGCAGGGTCTCACTTCTGTACCCTGATCTGGCTTTGAAGTCACAAGCCTCCTGCCTTGTGACTACACAAGTCCCCCGGTGGTGGGACTACCGGTGTAACAGTGTCTGGCTATATGTCAGTGTTTTAGATGCACCTTGTTTTTTAATTTTGTAAAGATTTATTTATCATTATTTTATGTATATGTTTTGCCTGCATGTGTGTCTGTGCGCCATGTGTGTGCTAGAGGTTAGAAGACGGCATTGGATCATCTGCAACTAGAGTGTCCAGGTGGATGGGGGGAGTGGAACTGGGGTCTTCTGCAAGAGCAAGTGCTCCTAACTGCTGAACCATTTCTGCAGCAGCCCTCCACCAAACCCCACTGCCCCCCCACGTGCACACACACACACACACAAACACGTATGTGTGCACACACGCACGCACACACACACACATGCACACATGCGCGCGCGCACACACACACACACACACACACCTTGCTTTTTCATTTACCATTCGTCTTGGGAGTCTTCTCTCTTTTCTGTGGGAACTAGCCATATTCTTCTAAATGGTGACATAGTTCCATTGTGTGCCTGGGTTCCAAACTCAGCCTCCTGTTGAGTACCACTTAGTTGGTTTCTAGTTTATAACGGTTGCAGTCAAGGCTGCATGGACACCGTCATAGGTTCAACTGTTGCAGCCAAGGCTGCAGGGACATCATTATAGGTTCAACTGTTGCAGCCAAGGCTGCAGGGACACTGTCATAGATTTTTCCAGGAGAAAAGTGCATGACCATCTGAACTGATCCTGATCTGGTACCAGGCATTGGTCATCCCAAAACACAGAAAGTTGAGGCTGACTGTGAGTTCAAGGCCACCCTAAGCCCTGTAGAGAGACTAAAAACATATACTAAAAACAAATAAGTGAACAGACATTGACAAATGATCAACTGCAAAGGCTGATTTGCTGTTAGCTGCCATCAGTGATGGACAAGTCTGCTGCCCGGAGCTCCCCAACACTGATGAGCCTGTAGCTTTCATCACCGTCCTTCTGACAGGGACGAATAATTGCTGGGATTTTGTTTGCATTTGTTTCATGAATTACCGTCTAGATGCTCATCATGGACACCTTAGACAAGGTGCTGTTCTGGACAGCGGCCGTCTCTTCCAGCGGGAGCTGAGACTGGCCAGTCACCATTCACAACAACAGCAGCCTCAAAACTAGCCCAGAACCCAGTCAGTAAGGGTGGGGTTGGCGCACAGCTGGAATAAACATCCCGCTTACAAAGTCCCAACTTGCTTCCTCAAGTACTCAGTCATGTGCCCACCGCAACATTAATACATTGAAACAGTGGGGTGTGTGTGTGTGTTTATTCATGTGTGTGAACATGGGTGTATTGCATGCCATGCATGCATGTGGAGGTCATAGGACAGTCTTAAGCATCAAACCTAACCTTTCACCTTCTCTGAGACAGGATCTCTTTCACTCTTTTTTTAAAAAATATTTATTTATTTATTATGTATACAATATTCTGTCTACATGTGTGCCTGCAGGCCAGAAGAGGGCACCAGACCCCATTACAGATGGTTGTGAACCACCATGTGGTTGCTGGGAATTGAACTCAGGACCTTTGGAAGAGCAAGCAATGCTCTTAACCACTGAGCCATCTCTCCAGCCCCATCTCTTTCACCCTTGTTTATGCCAGGGTAGCTGGCCTTCCAGGGAGTCTCCTGTCACCCCCATTTTGCCGCAGATGCACTGGGATTGCAGAAGTACACGATCGTGCCCATCTTTGTGTGAGTTAAGTG